ACACCCTTTTCTACCAGCAGAGGGCGCACAGCAGACATGCAATCTATTGAATTACCAATCTTGTGTCTAGTGTCCAGAGTTGTCCTCGCAGTGTAGAGGTCTTTATATTCTGCTTAGCTCTTCGCTTGTCTCTCATGGTTAAGAGACTCTTGCTTACTAGTTTTTAGATGAATGGCCTAAGACATTTGGCGTGACTGGAAGGAACAGTTTTATTTCTCTAAAAAGTATCTGCCTTACCAGCCTGGGCTTTCATAGTTTCTGAGACCGTTAGTTTTGAAACTGTGGCTCAGGAATGGTAGTTTCTTATTTTTTAATTTTTAAAAGTGTATTGGCTTGAGATAGGGGCAGAGAAAGAGGGGGTGGAGACATAGAGACAGAGACAGACCTGCGGGTACCTTATAATCAACTATGAACATTTTAAAAATACAAATTCTTGGGCCCTGCCCCCAGATCTAGTATATAGTAGATCAAAGTGTTCAGGGCTCATGCTCCAGAAATCCGTACTTTATTTTTTTAAATATATTTTATTAATTTTTTTTTTTTTTTTTTTTTTTACAGAGAGGAAGAGAGAGGGATAGAGAGTTAGAAACATCAATGAGAGAGAATCATCGATTAGCTGCCTCCTGCACACTCCCTACTGGGGATGTGCCCACAACCAAGGTACATGCCCTTGACCAGAATCGAACCCAGGACCTTTCAGTCCGCAGGCTGACGCTCTATCCACTGAGCCAAACCGGTTTTCGGCTGTACTTTAATAAGTTGCCAACTGACTTCATGCTGTCGGCTGTGAATTAGCATTGGGGAACTACTTACCTAGGGGAATCCCTGGGACCCCTATCTCAGTCCTGCTACTCCAGCGCCTGCCCTTAGGGGCATTGACAACCAAGGAGACTTGGAGTCAGAACAAGGTTTGAAACCAGGGAAGCCTAGACCATTCCTTCCATATAAAGCAAGACCCCTCCTAGTGAGGGAATGAGGGACAGTGAGTGGAAGGAGATCTCTAAGCTAAGGCAGCAACTCTGTCCCCTCAGGTGTTACAGGAGAATAGCTGCCCTCTTTTTACATCTGCCACTCAAAGTTGCTGGAGAAGCTGAGCCTTGCTATTGAGGGGGCTCTCGGCAGGTCTCCACATTCTCCATCCTCACCCCACACATACTCAGGATGGGCTGCAATCAACTTCAATGCGGGGTGGGCTTCTCCAGCTGTTCTGGGCTGTGTCTCCCTCCCAGGCACTGCTCTAGCTGGTGGTGCTCAGAATAGCATCTGTTTTGGGCTCACTAACTAAAGGATCCTGCTAAGATAGTTCTCAGCTGCACTGAGTTTGGCCAGACCAAGTCCACAGTCTGAATCTGGGAACCTGAGCACAGGTACTAAGGGGTAGGGGGGGACAATGACAAGATCCTATAGCCCCTAAGGCTGAGCAGCAGAGTCTGCTGGCTGTATGGCTCCCAGCTATTGTCCAAGGCAAGGACATTTTAGGAACTCCTTTGGTCTAGAGCTGTCACTTCTATCAGCCACTTGGGCTTCTTGTAGGTATCTGGTCAGGGACATCCCATTTGAGGAGGAATGTCCCAGTCTTGTATATTGAATGTCATACTCACCTAACCCCATGGGTCAGAGGGACTAGTCTGAGTCAACCTGTAATCCCTTAAAGGGTCCTACAACTTAGAACTAGCTGGAAAGACAGGACGATATACAAAGATCCTAGTCGTGTAGTAAGACAGATCTTGCTTCATCAATTACTACCCTGGACAAGCCATTAAATCTTTCAGTGCATCCATATTCCTATCTGTAAAATGGAAATCATCATTCCTACCTAATGGGGTCGAAGAAGCATTAAATGAGCTAGTGAACAAATGTAACATGTTTTAGCACTGGGCCTGGCACATAATAGGCATTCAATTGTTAGTAGTTATTTATCGGGTCCTGTCTCTGTAGCACCAATGAAGACTCAAGGATACAGGTCTGTAAAGAGAAGAGGAGCTATAGACAAGAGCTTTTGGCCAACATGGATTCTTCCAGAGAGACCTAACGAAGCTGAATGAGGAACCCGGAAGCACCCTGATTCCCTTGAATACCCTTACCCCTCACCACCTTCATAGCATCAAGGGTGTCATGGTTCTCTGGCCTCAGGAGTTCCTTTCCTCTGGGTGCACCCTGGGTACAGCCCATTCCCAAATCCTCTTGCTCAATCTGAGGGGGGCCTGAATGCCACTGTGTGGGTAATAGCAGGATGTTCTGGGGGAGGGAGAGTGAGCGGAGCCCTGAGATTCTTGGGATCCCTGGGGCCACAGTGGGGAGTCCTGGGACCTCTTGCCTATCCCCAGGCACCTGAGGAAGAATACTGTCATACTGCAGGAAAAGACAGGTTCAAGCAGATGAGACACAGAGAATAGAAGCAGGTAAGATTGGTGGGTGCCCGCTATTCACAGCAAACCTACCAGAGCCTTGGCAGGACCAAAGGTAAAAATCTGGGAGAAGTTTTCAGAGTCTATTTTTTAAGGTAAGGGACAGCCAGCTTGGAAGTTGCACCCTTGCAGCCCAAATACAGGAGACACCCAGGAAGGGGTGTCTATTTCTCTTGGAGATGCTATGAGAAGTAGAAGTGTTACCCTCTTGCAGGTCAGCAAGAGAACTGAATATTTCCCAAGACTACTGAGTCTAGTTGATACTTAAACCTTGCACTGGCTTCTCACTGCATTTAAATAAAACTTAAACCTGGCATTACCTACTTCTTTGCCTAATCTTCCACATTCTCTTCCTTTCTTGCTCAGCCACCCTAGTGTTCTTTCTGTTCCTCAAATGCACCAACCTCACGTCTGCCTCAGGACCTTGGCATCTACTGTTTCCTTTGGGGTTCTCTTCTCCCTGACTTCACAGTTGGTTGCTTTTCTTCATTCAGGCCTCAGTTTAAATGTTATCTCTTCAGAGATGCTTTTTGTGACCACTCTACTTAATATGTAGCCGTCCCGCCACCTTCTTCATTCTCTAATTACCATTATGGCCCTTAGAGTCCTTATTACCCTCTCAAATTATCTCATTTATGTGTCTCAATTCTGATTTAGTGTCTGTCTCCTTGAAGAAAGCAGGACTTTATTTTGTTGACTTAAGTACCCCTAGGGCTTAGAACAGTGGCACATATCGATAGTAAGTGTCCAGTATATGTTTGCTGAAAGATGTCAGAGGTAATTCAGGTCTAGAAGTGACAGTCCTGGTTAGAGGACTTGAAATGTTGTCATCTTGACCCTGTCACAGCACAAAGGTGCCCTGTCCAAGACAGGCCAGAACCCAGACTGAAATGTACCCATTAGAACGGACAAGTATACATTCAGCCCCTGAGAGGTGGCCTAGCTCTGCAGGCAGGTCATAAGAGCCAAGTAACACAACAACGGGAGTTCGTGTCCTCGGCGAGGAGTCAGCATCTAAATTCTGAGACAAGTCCCTAGTGTATTCCGTGGGGAGAAGTATAGCTGTGAGGGTTTCAGAGGACAGTTCACCAACAGACAGTCCAGCCCCTTGGGTGAGATTCAGGGGCTGGGCATTAAGGGAACAACTAGGAAGAAAACAGCCCTCACTGAGATACTAAGAAGACCCCAAAGACTGGGATCCAGGCACAAGCCAAGTAATGAGAACCAGCCTGGGGGCTAGGCTGAGACCGAAGCTGGGTGGAGATGGAAGTGGGATGGGGAATTAGCCATATAGGAGAAAGAGAGTTGTAGGGACAATCATTCTGGAAAGACCAAACAGGCTATTTGTTTGGGTGGGAAGTGCATCTGGGATGTACCTATTCTTTGCTGGCAAGGGGCAAGGGGCAGACCTGCCTTCACCTACCAGAGAAATCACCTACCAGAGAAACATGCTAAGGGGCTGCCTAGGATTCTCTCTCCACAGGCTTCTGACAACAGAGACACATTAAGGAGCATCCCCCCAAGTAAAGAGATCTACCTGAAGCTATTATAGAAATGCCTTTATAGCCATTTAGGTATATAGTGGACAAGGGACTTTCACATACCTAGGACCAGCCATATAAAAAATTCCTACAGGACTCCTACTGTAGTCACCACCCCCCACCCCCTCTTGGCTTAAAAGGCAACAAACTATCCGGCTTGATGTGCAGGCTTCCCCACGCTGGGCTCTCCCACTAAGATTGCTCAGCTGTCAGTGAGCCACACTCCTAGTTCAACCCCCAAGGTCATTATTGCTTCCTGACTTTTGCCCATTCCTCACCTCTTTACCAATCCAAACGTTACGCTTTATTCAACATAGAAAATAAGTACGATTCTTTTTCAGTGGCCCCACTAATGTTGAGTACATAACACTCTCAATTCCCATAACACAACCATGCCCTTGGTGATAAAGTTGTCTAATTTTCGTTCCCAAGTAGTTTCAATATGTACAATGTTCCCGCAACTAGATCAAAGTGTCTTTGAACATAGGGGATGAATCCTCCTCTTGTTATGTTTGCTCCATAGCACACAGCAAAGATCTGGGAGCATAATAGATATTTCTTTGCTTGAGCCCTGTCTTCTCTAAGAAAGGGGGGAAGAAACACTTTTGGTGTTAGAGACTGCTTAGTAGAACGTGGGAAGAAGACCCTAATTACTTTGGAAGCAGCTGGGCTTATTGGGCAACCTATACTTTTTATTTTTAAACTTTGGGAAATAAGGAGAGAGCAGCCTCCTCTAGGGAACCTAGGAAATACTGATGAGTAAACATTTTTCAAGTCTTATATATCCTGCTGCCTGCACTGGCACTCAAGAAACCATATCTGGGTTGTATACCACTCCTTCTGGGTGTTTCTGTCCACTGATGACACTCAGTGAGACAATGAATTAGTTCTGAAGAAGTGACTCAGACGATGAGATCTTCAGGCAGCATAGAAGGCTGCTAGGGAGTATGCCTTGGCACAGACATACTATTCCAGTGGGACAAGCTGCCTCTTCTACTCATCACAATCAGAAATGTCTTCTCAGAGGAAAGCAAGACATGAAGACATGTGATAATCTATACAAATTTTATTTTAATATCAATTTCTATGGGAACAAGCAGGTGTCAGCGTTATGCAGACACGGAAAAAAGGGAAAGAAAAAACTAGTGATGACTGATCTTGTATTTACATTATTTGGTTTCAACAGGGACAGGAAGTTTTGCTGTTAGCCTCATGTGGGAACTCCAGTTTCTGCACCTTCCCCTGCTGCCTCTCAGCATCACGATAGAGCAGTGATTTCTGTGCCTTCAATCGGCAAGCCAGGCACATGAAAATTGACTCCACGTTCTGGCTCTCTTTGGGGTCCTTGGCCGATGTCTCAAACAAGAGCATGTTGTGGGCATCGGCAAATTTCAGGGCTAAATTGGAGGGCACCTGGATCTGTTCCCTCAAGTCACACTTGTTGCCCACAAGCACTTTCGGTACTAGTGGGGGCACAGCATGCCCATTGCATTCTTGGATCCACATTTTGAGGTTGGTGAAGGATGTCATCTTGGTGACGTCATAGACAAACACCACTGCATGCACATTGCGGTAGTAATGCTCGACCATGCTTTTGCGGAAGCGTTCCTGACCTGCTGTGTCCCACACTTGAACCTGAAAGGTATAAAAACCCATGTTTGGAGTCAGGAAAGGAAACATGAATAGACAGGAGAAAACATGGTTCTGTGACATTATAGAGCTGAGGTGACAAGCCCTAACACTGAAAGTAGTTCTTTGACAGATTGGCAGGATGGACTTATGAAAGTACTAGAGGCCCAGTGCATGAAATTCATGCACAGGTAGGGTCCCTAGGCCTGGCCTGCGATCAGGGCTGATCAGTTTCCCCTCCTTTCCACCTCCCTGCCTCTCTACTTCCTCCTTTCCTTGCTCCCTCAGTGCCCCACCCCACTGCCACTGCTGGTTACCCACCTTGTTCAGTGACACCCCCTAGTGGTCAGCACACATCAAAGTGAGTGATCAAATTCCCAGTCTCCCAGTCGAACTCCCAAGGGGACACTTTGCATATTAGCCTTTTTATCCTATATAATAAAAGCTGAATATGCAAATCGACCAAACAGCAGAACAACTGGAGGAACAATCACTCCCAATGATGCACACTAATCATCAGGGGACAGACACTCAAAGCAAGAGCTGCCCCCAGCCCGCAGACCCCAGGCCAGCCAAGGTGGGGCCCCCCCAATTGCCTTGCCAGTCTCCCCACAGAGGGAGGTGACCAGCAGCAGTGGGAGGGGGCAGGGCCAGTGCCCCCCCCCCCCGATTGCCCCACAGATGGGCCCTAATTGCTGGCCAGGTCTAGGAACCCTACATGTGCATGAATTTCATGCACTGGGCCTCTAGTCCTATCTAATAAAAGTGTAATATGCAAATTGACCATCACTCCAACACACAAGATGACTGCCCCCATGTGGTCAAAGATGGCTGCCCCCATGTGGACACAAGATGGCACTACAAGATGGCCAGTAGGAGAGGGCAGTTGTGACTAATCAGGCCAGCAGGGAGGGCAGTTAGGGGTAACCGGGCAGGCAGAAAAGGGCAGTTGGGAGGGACCAGGCCTGCAGGGGAAGGCAGTTGGGGGGGGCAGGCCTGCAGGGAAGGGCAATTAGGGGTGATCAGGCCAACAAGGGAGGGCAGTTATGGGTGACCAGGCCAGCAGGGGAGGGCAGTTGAGGGGGGAACAGGTCTGCAGGGGAGAGCATTTGGGGGCAACCAGGCCTGCAGGGGAGGGCAGTTAGGGGTGATGAGGCCAGCAGGGAAGAGAGTTGGGGGTGACCAGGCCTGCAGGGGAGGACAGTTAGGAGCACTTAGGCATGGATCAGGCTGGCAGGGAAGTGGTTAGGTGGTGATCAGGTTGGCAGGCAGGTGAGCTGTTGGGAGCCAGCAGTCCTAGATTGTAAAACGGATGCACGACTGCCCATCAGGATTGGGCCTAAACAGGCAGTCGGACATCCCTTGAGGGGTCCCAGATTGGAGAGGGTGCAGGCGGGGCTGAGGGACACCCTCCCTCCCCGCCATGCATGAATTTCGTGCACCAGGCTTCTAGTATATATATATATATATATATATATATATATATATATATATATATATATATATATATATATATATATATGAATAGAGAGAAGTTCCTTTCAGGATTTATAAAGTTTTTCTTAAGATTTTTAGTTGAAAATCCTTCAGATTTTTAGTTGAAAAACTGGGATGTACATTAACCAACTCTTCTGTGGGCAATTTGTCAAAATTATCAAGAACCTTAAAAATGTTAAAAACTCTTTGAGCTTATAATCTCACTTCCAATCATCTATACGAAAGAAATAATAGATATGTGGTCAAAATTTTGTACAAAAGTCTTAATCACCATGTTATTTATACTTTTTAAAAAACAGGAAATAGCCCTGGCAGGTTGTTTAGTGGTTATAGCATGAGCCTGCAGGCCTAAGTGTTGTGGGTTCGATCCCAGGCCCTGGTCAGGGCACACATAGGAGGCAACCAATCGATGTGTCTCTCTCACCACTCTCCTCCCTACCTTCCACTCTGTCTAAAAATCAATGGAAAAAATATCCTCGGGTAAGGATTAAAAAAGAATAATAAATAAATAAAATAGGCCCAGCTATCATGGCTCACTGGTTGAGCATCGACCTATGAACCAAGAAGTCACAGTTCGATTCTTGGTCCGGGCACATGCCCAGGTTGTGGGCTCAATTCCCAGTGTGGGGCATGTAAGAGGCAGCCGATAAATGATTCTCTCTCATCATTGATGTTTCTATCTCTCTCTCTCTCTCTTCCTCTCTGAAATCAATAAAGATACTAAAAACAAAACAAAATAGGAAACAGTCTAAATGCTCAGTAAGAAAGGAATAGCTAAAGTTTGTGTATATAAGTATACTGTGGGTTATTATGCAGCCATTAAAAATGTTTTCAAAGAATAAATGATGGAGGAAGTGTGCACAAAATATAAGTGAAAGCAGGACATGAAACTTTTCATATGCTATGGTCCCAATTAAAACAATTAAGCATAGTCATATGCATAGGAAAGACTGGAAGTGTATATACCAGAACATTAATGATCATTTAAGGGCAGTGAGACTATAGATAATATTTATTTAGTTCTTTTTTGTTGCTGTACTTTCCAAATTTTTTACTGTATTCATCACTTTGTCTTGGGTTTTGTTGGGGGAGGTTTTGATGGCTTTTTAAAGAAAACAAAGTTAGTGTTTAAATTTCAACTTTTAGCTCAATTTAAGTCCACTTCTTTGTTATGTAAATGGTAATTTAGCTCACTGGATTTTTCTTCCGTATCTCACCTTTTGGGATAAAGGCCAAATTATGAAGCAAAAATGCTGATTTAAAATATACCAGGACACAACTCCCAAGGGATACTCTGGAGTCGACGCACATTCTGCCCAATCTATTTCTCTTTATACATCCAAAGTCTTGGACAAGAGATTCATACACAGGATGATGGTCCCAAGGCCCTATACTATTCTCAGTTATCAAAGAAAATTTGATTATGGTCTCTAATTGACTATTATGGTTCTTAAAACAAAGTATAGCCTTTATTTGGAGTTATTGGTCAGTCAGTATAATCTAGTAAATATAATTGAATCTCCTTGCTGAATGAAGATCTTAACAGGGCCCCAGAGTCATCATTCTGAACATCAATTTTCATTGTCTAGGCTCCCCTTCATTCCCTCTATGGGCATGGCCATTACATGCCTTTGACATGACCTTCAGATTCACCCATTCTATTTTGTTGTTGCTATCCTCACCTGAGGATATTTTCCCCATTGCTTTGCACAGAGTGGGAGGAGAGAGAGAGAGAGAGAGAGAGAGAGAGAGAGAGAGAGAGAGAGAGAGAGAGAGAGATTGAGAGAGAGAGAGAGAGAAACATTGATGTGAGAGGAGGGACACATCAATCGGTTGCCTGCCGCAATTGCCCCAACAGGGGATGAGGAGTGAACATGCAACCCAGGTATGTGCCCTTGACCTGGAATCCAACCCTCGATTCTGTGTTGTGCAGGTTGACTTTATAACCACTGAGGCACACCAACCAGGGCAGATTCACTCACTCTTGTATTTTGATTTTCATTTCCCTAGGACAGACCCTTCTCTCCTCACTTTTGGACTACAGTTAAATCTTTTGGATTCTAGATGTCTCTACTCCCATGCTTCCTCATACTACTTTCAAACAAGCCTTCTTGAATCTCTGCTTTTTCAGCATGTCATCCATCTCATTAAGAAATTATGTTAGGCTTCTTCTGCATGTGGCATCAAATAGAAAGTTTTGTCTGCCATAATTTTATCTCACTCAACCTCTTTTCAAACTACTCAGCTACCCCTGGTTCATTCCTTCTGTACCTTTGGTCCTGCTAGTTCACGCTTCCCTACAGAATCAGTTGCCCCCTCATTACTCTACCTAGACCTTGCTCATTCTTCAAAGGCTCAGTTCATATCTCCACCTTCTTCCTAAAATCTTCTCCACCTCTTCAATTCTCTTTCCTAGGCATTTCTAGTGCACTTTGAGTCCATACCACGCCATTCAGAATATATTTATTTGTTCTCTAGATGTTTCATCATTGCTCTTGGCATCTCTCTGGCTAAACGGTAAGCTGTTTTTTTCTGCATCCAATCACTTATCAATATGGTTGTTGTCGAAACTGTCAGCATTATCAACAAGCAGTTTTGGCCTGAGCTACCAAAAGTACAAGCAGTCTGGCATCCTAGGTATCTGCCAAGGCGAATTCAGAAACAACATTCAACCCTGATTATGCAAAAAACATAAGTCCTTGAAGACTGATTTGCTTTGGCATGCAGAACCAGAAAAGATTTTTCATTTCTTCCACTGCTGTGGTCCTCTGAGCAGGAAGAAAGCGAGAGCAGGCCAGGAAAGGAATGGAGGTCAGTGGGAAGAGTTCGGGTATAGCACAAGAACATCCTGATCTCTAACTCTTGCCTCTGAGTAAGGCTGAATCCCTACCAGCCTTCAGGCATGTGGCAGATGCTTTACCACCATGAGCTCAGGACTCTAAAAATACCTGACACTAGCAAGAACAGGGGTGGGAGTGTGTGATTTTTTTTTCTTCTTCAAAATTGTGTACACCACCCAAGCTGCCAGAACTACAGGGAGGGCCCTCTCTGCTGGAGACCAACTCTGCCTTTTCAATGTTACAGGGAGCCTTGAAGTTTTTATTTGGAGACTCGGAATTTGAACTGGAGGCACTGCTCTCATTCTATATAAACCCCACTCTAAACTCTATGAAGCCCTGTTTGTGGTGGGAAGTGAGCCAAGAAGCAGGCTGCTCACAGCAGAAAAATCAGAAAAGCCATCACAAAGGAAGAGCACAGTAGTCAGGCTCACTGGACACACAAATGACCTCATTTTTGTTTGGAAGTTTGATGTTCCTATTCTTCTCAACATCCTTACTGGTATAAGCCCCTGGCACCTCCTTCCTCTTTTGCAGCTGGTAATCCTCTCATCCATCCTTCATTTCCTGTAGGCACTGTATCCACATGGTGACCCTGAGGGGACAACTGCCCCTTAGCCACATACATGCCCCTTGGCCACATACATGCTCCTCCGGATTTTCTCTCCAAGG